CTCTCTCTCCCTCTCTCACACACAGACAGACAAAGAGAGGGAGACAGAGAGAGCCGAGCAGAATCCCTCAGGGACATCATGCTGTTGTGCTGAATACCAATGAAAAAAGGAGGGAGCAACAAGTTTTAAGTTTGTGCAGCTGCTATTCAGCTTCATGCAACTTGTTTTAAGTGTACTAAGCAGGGAAGGTGTTTGTAATTCACTGCAGCTCTGGTCGTATTAAGACCATAATACTCTTGTTACTGTGCACTTTTGAAATGAGTCCTTCAGCATTTGATTTGACAATAAATTCATTTTGCTTATAGTTCTCAGTAATACATTATTGTTAGCATCAGTGGTGAAAGTAACTACATTTACTCAAGTACTGTACTTAATTACAATTTCCATTCCCCACTGCTTTATGCTTCAACTCTCACTACATTTATCTGTCAGCTTACTGATACCCCCAGGCATGTTTTAACATGTATATAAATTCCTCTCCTTTGAGTAATTTGTATCTGATCTTTTCACACAAAATGTTCAATTATCTTGTTAAACTATTTCCAATGACATTTACTCCTCCTCATTTCTATAAATATAAGTTTAACTGCTGGACAACAGGTGTTTCCTGCTTTACTGTAAAGTCCATTCTCAGTGTATGTGCACTGGAGGCTTCACGTTTCCACATCACATTTTTGTGTTAAATATTAGACCAGGATTGGCTTCCAAACGCTTTGTGATGTCACAAATGATGTTTGTAGGCTCGCCCTTGAAAATGGTATTTTCAGTGAGCACACAGAAACTTAACACTTGAGCCACCTTTTAATGTCACATACATCATTCTGTGAAGTGAAGCTCAAACATTCAACTGTAGGAACAAAAAGAAAAACATATTTTTAACTGGGGAGGGACTTAAATTATGATGTATTATTATAGGTTAAGATAAGACTTTATTGATGCAGAGTTGTGACCCTAAACATTTAAGTGATGTACACATGAATGGATCAACAATAATAATAATAATATAATACACAATATTCTGAAATGGGCCATTCTACATTACTAGTGATTTTGGTAATTTAAGTTTATTGTGATGCCAATTTAGTTTTTTATTTGTAAGAGTGCAACTGAGTAAGATCTGAGTACTTACTTCACCACTGGTTAGCAATTGTGAGTGCAGCCATAGCTCTTTTTCTTCTTCTTTGTATTCTTTTTCTTCTCCAGGCTGAATGTTGCTTGTGTTTTGCATGTTACTGTTTTCCTGTCCTGTCCTGTTTGGGTTGTTGTTGTTGACCATTTGCACTGTGCAAAAGTGTTGACCACAGGATCTTGACAGAGGTGCGCGAGTGTAAAAGCCCTTGATGGGATGCTCCTCGAGCGTTCTTTGTATAAATAGCTCGGTAGTAACAGACCGGGAGAGGGAGGGAGGGTTGGAGGAGGGGAGGGACTGGGCGATGACGAGCGGCCACACTGACAGCAGCATCTCCGCTCTGTCGCCCCGCGTCGGTCGGCAGTCATTGGGAACCGGCCGGGACTCCGTCAGCCTGACTTCATTAACAGTCCGGTGCTGACCGTCCCAAACGCCCGAGCAGAGTTTGCTGACCTACTTCGAGACAAAAGTTCCCGCTTCACAAACAATTTGGTGAAGTTGCAGAAGACCGGTGCTCGTTTTGAATTTTTTTGTTTTATAAATCAACATGTTTTGCAGCGTTGTTGCGCGCGCGGAGTATTTATAAGCGCGAGGACCCCGGACACCAGAGGGAAGAATTAGGTAGGCGGTTGTATGAAATGTGTATGTGTTTATAGTCATACTGCAAGCATATAAAGCAAGCAACGTATTGGAATACAATCAAATGCCATCCAGTGTTTCTTGGAGTTTTTCCACCTTAACCTAAGTCCTATTGTGCATAATATTTAGGAAATGACTTTTGTTTCGTGCATTAAGGGACGTTAATGTCATAACTTTACATTAATTGCCCTCATTATTAAGACAAAAGTTCTTGAAGGAATCTTAAAATTGTATGCAATGTATAATGATTTTGTAAAATACCCAACAGTAATAAGCATAGTTTTTCACCTATAAGACAATGTCTGATTATGCCCAGTTGGACAAATCAACAATTATTTGGCTGCTCAAGTGTTAAATAGTAATAAATAGCATCAACACTCAACTTCACAGTGAACTTGTGGCCATGCAGCTTCTTATATTAGCTGGGGAGGAAGGTCCAGTCACATGAGACCCTGCAAGGTGATGCATTATGCACAAGTATTTTGTTTTCCATGTGGTCACTGCAGGTGCAAGTTGAGTGTGGCTGCATTGCCCATTTGACTCCTCCTGTAAACACACACTGTTTGGCATGTAAGCTAGCATTTGCATCAATTTAAATTAGATTGTTGTATGTATACACAAAAGGCCTTTATGCTGGTCAATGGGACCATTCACAGACTCTAACATGCGAGCACAAGCACAACACTCATGCTGTATTTTGCAGTTGCATGATTCCAGTCTCAACCTAAAGTTCAGCAATTTCCTGCTACAGCCACAGAGCACACAGCCATTACATAACTGGCAGACTGTAGTTGTCTGTGTATTGATCGTGACGTAAGGGAGCGTGTGCATGTGTGTTTATGTATGTTTGTGTGCAGTCCGTCAGTCATGTGCTGTTCTGATCTTTGAACCTTTGAAACTAAAACAATACAGACTTCTGAATCAGTGAAGTGCCTCACTGACACATTATGAATGAGGTTGAGCCTCTTCCATCTCAGAGCAATAAGGATTTAAATGGACAACAGCGTTCACCAGATATCTTTTACCTGTCAAGAGCAGTGATGCATCAAATTTGTTAGAAGTGCACAAAGTAAACTTTTTTTTTGTAATATCAGTTCACCAATTACCATCATTTATTTGGTAACATTGGGTTCTTTATGTTCTGTTTGAATACATTTGCTTTCTTCGGTCGCTAACAGATCTAGTGTTCAGAGGAAATTTATTTATCTTGCAAATGAGAACAAATTATCCTTGTAGTTATTAAAACATGAACAATCTACTTTGAGAAGTGTGGGTTATGAAAATGTGTTATAATTGGTGATAATGAATAACTTGTGTGACTGCTGTATGCTTCTTGTTATATGCACCACTGGTTGTTTGAAATCAGTATCAGCATGCAACCAGTCGTCTGTTCTAATACATTGCTCACACTCATTTGATTACTCTCTCTAGCACACACACACACACACACACATTCAGACTCTTCCCTGTCACGTCTCTCTGTCATTTAGTAGCCTACACATTCCTCGCTTTTGCTCTAATTGAAATTGTAAACCAGTTACGCTACATTTAGTATCACCTGACTTCTGCGAGAAAGTTCCTCAGGATGTTTTGGCAATATTTTGCAAAGCAGCGAGGGCCGTTTTATTGACAGCAATCCCAGTTAGTGTTTATGAGGGTAATTCTCCCTCCAGTGATGCCACCAGCATCCTGAGAGGGACCCATCTGGTACAAACAAAGACCGACTTCATGCGTTGGAGAGCAGATCAAATGCATCACTGCCACCTACTCTGACTTGGAGCAATACATCTTTATTTGGCTTGGTCATAAAATGCCTATAACGGGAAGGATAACTTTGAAATGAGTTCTCAACAGTGGGCTTGGACTGTTGCAGCATTTCCCTTAGTTGGGGAGAGGAGGAAATATGTGGTCTCATTAGAATTGCATTAGAGGGAAGAGAGATAGAGGAGGAGATGAGCGTGAGTTTTTATCTGTTAAACTCTGATAGGGAAAATATTCACACTCTCCAACTCACATGCTTGAACCGACTTCCCTCCCTCTCACTCTGTCAGTCTCTCTCTCCCACACTCACACACACACACCAGCATACCTCAGTGACCCATTTAATATCAGCCACAAAACTGGCAACTATATTCCCACGTGATCCTCCTAAAAAAAAAACCCATTACTGCTGAAACTCATTCAAAATAATTCAGCGAGAAAAAGTGCTTTCTGGCAGCTTCTTTATCAGTTTAATAACTTCATCGCTCTCTGCCTGTATTAAGATGTTTCAACACAACCACAGCCGAAAGGTACTTTTTTGTCCTGTATTACTCTCCCATCATCCACAGATTATTATACATAACAAAGTCCCTAGAATGTATTTGTCTCTACACCTGTCTGGCACTTTTCTTGTACATTACAGGTACTGAGATATCATAATAACACTCTTTATTAGAAACCCTTGTAATGCTCTGTATTTGACACTGCAAGAACACTTACTGCCTCTCAAAAAAAGAATAAAAACCCTCATGCAGATACTAAACATACCTACGTAGGTTGTTCCATATATAGCGTCTGCAGGGATAAAGCCACCTTGGCCTAGTGACTAGCTTGGCAGAGAGAAAGTAATCTTTACTAAGGCGACCTCACTAGTAGGCCCACGTGACAGGCAGGTTAACTGTGGCCAAGTATGCGGGCACGTGTGTGTGCACGGGGCATGTTTGCATGTGTTGTGAAAATAAACTCAGCATGTTGATGCGATGCATTTTCTTTCTTGTCAGGGAAAATCTGTGGAGTTGAAGTGGCCAACGTGGCACCAGTCGCAGACCTCAGACCCGCCTCTGAAGTGTGATGTGACGATAGTGAGGCTGCTCTTCAGTCAACCATGGAGCATGATCTGAGGATGGGTTTGTCTGTGTGGACCATTATAGCCATTGTTTGTAACTCTGTGGTGGGTGTCCTCATCCTCATCCTCTTCGTCATCCTCTACAAGGCCTGCAAGGTGCCTTCACACCCAGAGAAATTGCCAGTTTTCACAGCTCATCCGCAGCAGAAGAATTCTGAACAGAAGTACCTGCTGACTGCAGCCTGATAATAACTTGAAAACACAGACTTGAGATGTAGACTTTGTCGATCAAGCAGAAATCAAGAAAAAGTGGATTCACGGTATTAGAAGACTCTTCTATATTTCTCTTCCATTCTTGTCATTATTTTCGCTCAGTAAGTCCTTTTGTCTAACATACTGTTACATTTCTCCACCATCAGCCCCTCATTTATGCCATTCACTGGAGCTCAGAGTGAGCTAACTGCGTTAAGAGTTGTGGCAAGACCAACAACAACAAGCAAGCCCAATCCTCTTATCTCTGCTGTGCGTCGCTGGGACTGTCCATCTGTCAGTCTGTTTGCTTTGCTCTACACAGGCAGACCATGATCTCCTCCTCTGCTCCATTCTTTTTCATCCCTCCGTATGAGACAACTGAGAGGAAGAGGAGGGGAAACAGCAAAAACAAAATGAATTGTAACGGGAAAGTTTGGGGTGATGGGGTTGGTTGAGAGTGACGATGACATATTAGAGAAGAAAAAGTAGCTCTGTAGCCGACAAGCGGTTTGGTGTTTGCCAGTTGCAGCACCTATGATGATGACGACAGAGCTGCAAACAGACGACAGGTAGAAACCAAACGCCTGAAAAAGTCAGGAAAGTGTGTGAGAGTCAAGAGAGGGCGCAGAGGGAGACAGACGGAGATAAAGGGCCGATATTTGGTGGGGATGATAAAATGCAGGGGAAGAGGGGAGTCTTTGATGTGTTGTTTACAGAGAGGGAGCTCGAGGGCCCTGTTTGACAGTCTCCCTATTTGACACACAAGTCTCGGCTTCCACCGATCCGACTGCCATGGGATTAAAAGCAACAGCAAAAATGTTACTCGTGTCCCGGTGTGCCTCTCTTTCATTTTGTGAGCTCCTGTAAAGACTGAATAAGATATTTATAGACAGGCTTCACCAGAAATGACAGATTGAACACTCAGTCTCACAGTAACAAGTGAATATTGTATTTATTGTAGTGAATGTACTGCAGCCAAAACACTAACTGTGGTAGCAATATTCTCTAAAGAGTGGAAGAGTGATGGGATATACCAATGTGACAAGCCAATCATCCCAATAAAAAGTGCTGCATACCAGTATATATTTTTGTCTTGTATAGTGATACAAAGGGCTCTTTACAGAAATGTGATTTATTTTGTGTTTGAGAAACATCAGTTGAAGTTTTATCTGAGGTAATTGGTCCAAAAAGATGTTTAAAAAATAATATGCTGCTTTGATTTTCTATGCAGCATGTTCTGTTTTGTGGGATATATTACTCACATGCAATCATGAACAGCATTTTGTGGTGAAATGATTACTTGTTTAAGACATATTTTGGATTTGATAAATAATTTAAATCACAATTAAGTTGCATCTTATGTGTGAACTTTTTCTTTCATATCATTGTAAGCTGAATAATTTGGGACTACAGCTTGTTTAATCACAGAATAGTAAACAGAATAACTGATCTTGAAAATAATAATTTCTTACATTTTGACACTTTACAGCATAACTATTGTTTCACTGTGGTAATTACCATTGCCCTGACTTTATACCTTGTGCTACTAATGACTTCCTGATACAATAAAATTATTTACTCTGATGTATAACTAACATGGTCCATAATCAATATTGCCATGCTCCTTTGATGTGTACTAGCGTCTCCTATTTCTTAAACATTAGAATTAAATTACCAACTGGCTTCAGCATCCTGCACTGTAGTTATCAGTGTGGAACATATTGATCTCAACAGCACCCCACATCCTGTTGTTAGTCACAACTATATCTGGTAACCACGATCCACAGGGAACTATTGAGTGTTAACTTCTGTGGATGTTTGTCTTTGAGTGGTTTCAGTCATTATTTCTCTGTCTTTAGCACACATAAAGGCAGTGGTGGAGTAACTATGTACCTTTACTTTTTAAGTGCTGCTTATAATAAGTGCAGGTTTTAGGCATTTTATCCTATTTGTACTTCCACTCCACTACATTTCAGAAGAATTTATTTGACAGCCATAGTTACTAGTTGCCTTACAGATGACTTAAGATTAGCTCTTAAAATACAGTACATTGTGGTGCATTAAACTACCCAACTGTATATAAAAGACATAAGAGTACTTCCAGTTACATTAAAACAGTGCTTAAACATCAGTAATCATTTGTTAGGTAATAATAATCTTGATGACCATATTAATAATCGTTATAGAATTAGAAGAACATTCTGCTTGCATACTGAGTACTTACTTAATACTTACAATATGTGCATACTATTACTTCAGTAATATTTTTAATGCAGGCATTTTTACTTGCAATGGCATTTTTGTAATCTGGTGTACTCTTATTTATGTATTTGAATACTTCTTTTACCACGTCATGAAGACAGGTTGGTTTTCACAGATTTTATTTGTTTAAGTCCAATAGAGGTCAACCACTCACAAGATTGTAAGAGTAATGGATTTATCACAGATCTCATGAGATAAGATGATGTCACTCACATGTGTAAAACAGTGCTTTATAGCACGTATGAGACAGATGGTTGAGGCCTTTGGTGGGCTGTTGATTTGAAACTGATCGTCAGAAAGGCGGCTCTACAGCTGTCTAGTGTTTATCTGCTTCCCTTCTATTTATCTGCCTGCCAGTCTCCCTCTTACTCTCTCTCTCTTTGGCTGTCTTCCTCATATTTGTTTCCCTATTCCCATCTAACCAGACCAGTGCCAGACTCATGCAAACTGGCCAGCCCACATCCAGTGATCTACTCCACAGTGAGCTGTTTGGATGTGAAAGTCAGTATGTTCTGACTCACGCAGTTTTTGAACCATTGCACTGACCTCCTGTTTTCCAGTCAGATCTTCTATTCAAGACCGCTGAATGAGTTCATTAATCGACCCTGTGTGATACAGATGAAAGAAAACACTGAATAAGCATCCATCATTTATCTGTTCTCTTGCCAATCACACTTCCATTGATCTCTCCATTTCAGATTTGAGTTCATCCAGTTAAGATTAGACTGCTGGCTACTGAACTCTCCAGTCACCCCATCCTTCCATCTCAGGGAATGCATTATACAGCAGCAAAGAAATTTCCTGGGTCTTCCAATAGTAGTTGAGATGGAAGAGGGGCCCTGAACTCAATATTGGGTTATATAAGGATCAGGACAAATATTACAAACAGAGAGATTACTAATAAACATATGAGGGGCCAGTAATCTGCAGCTCCATCTGCACCGCTGGAGGGGTTGCATAACCCACATCAGCCCAGACTGAGTCATGGCCAGTGTGTGTGTGTGTGGCATTGCTGTTTGGCGGTTTGGATGTGTTGTTTTGTTCTGTACTCTGATAGAAGCAATTACAAAGAGGATTAAATGTTTATCTAGTTTTAGACACTTCATATTGAAAGAATTTGTGGGATTTTGGAAATATTCGAAAAATGACGTTGCATTAATCCTATTAATTTCATTTAGTGCCTTCACATAAATCCTTAAAGTACTCTCCCTGTGTGTGTCTGACTTGACCGTGATGCAAACAGCAAGGATCTGAATCTTTACACATAACTGTCATAACAGCTTTGAGGTTGTTGAGGTTAAGTATGTATTCATGCAGTATGATGAGTACTGTGCAGTGTGATGCACAAATGTGCAGGAATGTGTATGTTTGTGTTATATCTTACTGTCCTTATGTATGAATAATTCATGACAAAATTCTAATCACACTTAATAAGTTCTTCGTAACAGGCCCCCTATAGACTCACAAACACTCATCACAATTACACTCACACAGACAGCCATTACATGGATTTTAACAACAGTGCAGCTCTGATATTGAAATAATTATATACAGTATAATTTAGTCAGGATGAATGTTTATTATGTCAACAGAGGTCCAATTATAGCATGAAACAAGCTCCGATAATGATGGTGACAGGAAACACAAAGTATGCGTGACACAGAAGGAACAAACAATGAAACACTAGTGTGTGTGAGATACAGAAAACTAGAGACAAAATGAGCTTCTTTAATTAGTAATTTTTTTCACAAAATTCCAGTGCTTCACAAAAGACCAGTGCTTTACTTTCCCCAACTATAAAAAGCTGACCTCCAGATATTAGTCATATCTAATGCATATGCATGAGCAGAAGTATGAAACTCAAACCGTTTGCATTTAGCAGACTAAAACACGATGACCTAGTTGACCCTGCACACATCTCATTGTCATTCATCCTCCATCCAGCATGTGTCCCTCCTCTCCTGTAGAATTAGACTGCCACCTGCTGGCTCAAGCTTTAATGTGTGCTACCTTAAATAAACTGTTGGCTGCAGCAGTAGCTGATCTCTGCCAAGACCTCTCTACATTGTTGTGCAGCAGAGCATGCTATTGCTGCTCTCTGCTGGAATTTCCAGGTAAGGACAATGTGCAGTCAGACGTGTCAGTGACTTTCAGCGAGAAGGAGTCACAACGTCATGGATGTTCTTCTATCATTAGCCAGGGCTTATTATTTTCTCAAAAATGTATAATGAGCTCCTTGATAGTAATTTGATTTTGTATTTTTTTAATTTAATTTTAAATCAGTATTTGTTTAAAGTTGTGATGAAGAGAGCAATTTGTATTGCCAAAATGTATGCTCATCCAATAATAGTTAGAGGCATAACGTACAAAACTGTTCTCAGAAGGTTTAATTAGTTTTATAATTAATTCACAGAACTATAAAAATAGCTGGTCATTGTTGCCTGAGGGGGAATCCTTATGCGTACATACAGTGCATGGACAGAATAATGCAATACTCCTGCAATAAATCCTATTTTTGTGAAGTTCATAATGTTTTTTTGTCGAAACCTTTAGAGGGGCACCAGATCAACTCTGTGGTCATTTTGCGGGCAGTACTTCATGTAGTTAATGGGAGAAATATTCTGATCCTTTAGTTAAATTAATGTTTTAAAATACTTCATGTTAAAAGCAAAAGTCTTACTTGAGTAAAAGTACATGAATGTTGTCAGTAAAATGCACTTAAAGTATAACAAGTAAAAGTACCCATTATGCAGCAGAATAGCTCCTGTCACAATTATTTTATTAGCATTTTAATGTTGTAGCTGGTCGAGGTAAGGCTGGTCATGTTTTGTTTTACATAAAATAACCAAGTACAACACTTGAGTAAATGTAATTATTTTGGATTCTAGTAATGTATGTTGTAAGGAGCACCTGTTGTTGTTCCAGTTCAGATCATTTAAAGGTATCGGTTACAAGGTCACAAATGTGGATTTAAACATTCATACTCTCTGTTTTTGTTGTGTTTATTTACTATGTTTTTTTTAAACCCACTTATATGTCCCAGCATGAGTTTTAACCAGTGATGGAAGAAGCCTAAGACTCTCTACCTGAGTAAAAACGTATAATGTATACTGTGTAACAAAGGCAACTATTGCACTTTTTCCTTGATCAGTCCTACATTTAAAATGTGATAATGTCAAACTACAGAAGTGTTGAAATGTACATAATGCACAATGGCACAGTTTAAAGTGCTATATTATTACATATACCATATTATTGAAACATTATTGTTGATGAACATGGAAGCATTATTTTAAAGTTGTAGCTTTTTGAGTTGCTTGTTGGGTAGTTTTATCTACAACAATACATCATATTTAATGAACTAGTGATTTTTACTGTTCAGCAGGAAACCAAAAACATTCAGTCTCATTAATATACTTCAACAAATATTACTGCTGTTTTTCATTAAAGTTTTGTGCCTGATCAATTAATTGATGGTGCTACAATTAATTGGGTCCAGGCTGTTCATTTGATTGATTCATTTATTTTGTTTTAATTTAAATTTCTGGGTGAAGACAACTGTTAATTGACTTTCCGGATGATGGGTTGTTAAGTGGACTGCCTCTGGTCTTTCTAGTATTTTTGTAATAAAGGAATGTCTTGAGCATTAACTGGTCCGCAAGGTTTCAACAAAACATTAAACAATGCATTTCACTGATTTTGTTTATTTTGTTTGTTTATTTTGTTTTTTGAGGATGTAACAGTGGAGATGCTGTCTGATCCTCTGGCTTCGTTGATTCATTTAATTTGATCAGTTACTCCAGAGGAGCATGAGAGAAAACAAAATGGAGGAGTTCAACAAATTACCACATACATAAATAGTCATACTGATATCATAGTGATTCCCACATGTCATATCTTCACATTAATCCATTACGCCCTTTGGTGGGGGCCACCTTGGTCCTATTCAAAAGCCCCCTTCTGGTCCCCGAACCCTAGCTTGGGATACCCTACCCGGAAGTGGGTGGTGGAGCCACCGTCACCCAACTGGTCACACCACCGTCGACATACTGCCTGCTGGGATGAAGCTCGCCACCGGAGAACTACAGAGATTGTTACAAATCTGAGATCACCCACAATCTCGGCGATAACTCGTCGAAACGACCCGTTACCAACAGTTAGTTTCCAGGAGAAGGGAGGAAAGAGGCGCGTTGCAAATATGATGGAAGAAATAGATAGATTCCAAGTGCCGAGTGCCGTGCAGGAGGCGGAGATGCAGGCTGAGATGCAGCCGCTGGTAAGTCAGATTTGAGATGATCAATCAGTGTTTTGGGTCCTGTTTTCTTATTCAAACTGACATTATTATAACTCCAGGATGCTCAGTGTGTGAGGCCTGCCATTCATGATGTTATGCTTCGGGATCCCGACAAACCCATCACCTGCCATGCGTAATATCGGCTGATGTACTAATAGAGCGTTTTCAGCAAGTTTTTTCGACTACAGTAAAATGTTAAAAGGACTAAGAGTAACGTGTCAGAGGTTAATGGATTTGCTCACAGACTGGCGTTTTTTGTTGTGTAATGCAAGCGGCGTCCGGTCTGCTGCGTAGTGAGCAGCATCCGTCATGTCTGGCGAAAACAAGCATCCCATCCCAACACTGCTGCTACATCCTCAGCATCCATGCAGCAAGTTGCTCCGGCTTCGACGCCACTTGTGTCGCCCCGTCGTGACCAGTGAGCGGCCTTTCGTGGCAAATGTGTGTTTGTATGTACCCGTTAAACCGCTATCTTTTAATAAAAATAAAAAAAATCAGTGTAAATGGTTTGGTGGTGCGCTCCGTGGCCTGTAGCGGGGCTCTGGGTTACTGCAGCCTGCAGGGCGGCCTCTGCTGCCCACGACCGGGGCCGCTAGAGAGCCAGACTAGACCCAAAGCAGTCTGACCTACTGTCTCCAGGCGTCCCCAGACCTCCATTTATTCCCGTGCCTCATGTGGCCACTGATTGATAGAGTTTTTTTTTTCTCCTTACCTTTGCCCTGTGGATATAAGATGTGAATTTAACAATATTTCCCAAAATGGGATGTAGGGACTTCCAAGAGTCAAAGGGTCCCAGAGTAACCTGAAAAAAATAGAGATCACTCTAAGTTCAATATTTTGCATTCACTTAAAATGTGTTCAAGTGAGAGAGTTAAATAGCTGTTTTCATTCACAGTTTCAATCTCTACCTTATAATTAGAGGCACCTATGACAAAATCTAATCTGCCAAAAAAAGGTTTATGGTATCCAGAACTATGTGTATCTAGGTTTAAAAATATATTTTTTAAACAAGTTATTCTTAATAAACGGGCGCTCATTAAATAGAGAAGGACTCTTCCTATATGAATGTTTTATATATGAATTGTTTTGTTCACATTGTCTCTGCATAGTAGGGTCTTTTGTGCATTACAAAAATACATTAATTATTCATCAATCCCTCAGTAAAGCACAATTCAATGCTCATCTTTCTGTCCACATTGTCCTTTCTTCTTGTTTGTCTCCAGGACCCAGCTTCGTCCACCGCCTCAGAGGCAGACTCAGACACCAGAGAGGGGGAACCAGTCACTATCAACTACAAGCCCTCACCCCTGCAGATGAAAATAGGTGAGTAAGAGCTGCAGTATTTGTAGGCCAAGTGTCTGCCTGTGGGAATCAACACATCTTGTAATCCTGTTACTTACTGTTACGTGTAAATGTAGCATAATCTTTAGACAAGACCGAGGTATTAGAGGAAACTGTATACACAGTGTGTGAATGTGTTGGGGCATTTAATTTGGTGTGACTACATCTAAGCAGTGAGGATCAGTTTTCAGAGAACCTTTCTATCACAAGGCAAACCAAGACTGTGGTGATATGTTGTTTTAATTAAACCCTGTTATGCTGCTAAACTATTAGTAAAAAGAACCATAATAGCTAATTTTAGGATCGCAACTAAGGATTATTTATTAATGGATCTGCTACATGTTTGCAGAGACCAAGGTGATGCCTTTAAATTGCTTTTTTTCTCCATACCCCAAAAAGTATTAAATTAACACCCATATGAAACAGAAACAAACAATAAATCCTTAAAAAGTAATTTAAACAATAAATCAGTTATCAAAGTTGTTGCCAAAGTTGTTACTTTTTAATCAGATAATCTATTAGTAGTCTGATTGTTTCAGCTCTAATCCATTTTATGGCAAAACGTATTCGCCACTCTGGCTTGTTTTATGTTTAGGAATTTGAGTCTCTTGTGTTTATGAAAAGCCACAGTCCTTAAAGAGTCATTTCAGCACCTTGGACAGAGTCCACTGGTGAGCAGCAGTGCCTCTTTTTTTTTACTCCTACTGTAATGCTTTCCTAGCCAAAGCCTTTAGGCACTAAGAATATTCAAAAGGAGTAAACTATTCAGTGACAGAAATGCATGGAAAAGGTTATTTTTAAATTCATTTCATTCTACATGCATCCCACATGTGCAAATGAGTTACCACAATGATGGCTACAGTTGTGTTTTATGATACACTGTTTAATCTCACTGGAGTCTTTTTTATAACATGTAAAGTGTCATAAATTTTCCTCTCTATACAATACATTCTCAGCTTGTTCCTTTAATTATGCAATGCTTGTTAAACTTGTCCCTTTCCCTCTGTGACCTTGAGATAGATAGGCTCTAATCTGCATTTGGTGACCTTTTAAAACTCTTTTCTGGACGAAAAATGTAATGCCATTAACTGGTGGCTCAGTATGAACTAATGTATTATATTTTTGTTAATCTAGCTCAGACTACACTAATACCATTAGTTTAGCCATTTGTTATTTGATCAGTGAGAAGTCTTTGCACTGTAGTAGTCAGGAGTAATCATCACTTTCTGGTAAATCTCTCCAACAGGAACTGATCTCCCCTGATGTCTCATATTGCACTGTGCAAAGCCTGTAGTTTGCTATTATCTTAACATGTCACAGTCTTCTTAAAGTGAAAATTGGTTGCAACCCAATTCCCTTGCCTGATTATCACAATTGCTGATGAATGTGTGAGTGTTTAAATTATACTGATTCTTCTTGTTAAAAAGTAAAAAAAAAGTAAATCTGACAGTTTGAGGTCTTGTTTCAATCCAGTGTGACAAAATGACACGTAACAGAAAGTTGTCAGCAATCCCATGCTTTTTATCAGCAAAAAAAATAAATACAAAAGTTCCCTGGTGTATTCAGGAATCTTATAATAAGCAAATTGTATCATTCAGTTGAAGTCGTACAAGCAGATGTTACTGACATCAGGTCCAGTTTATCACTTTTTGTGCAGTTTGTGTGTCAATTAGAGCTAACCTCGTATATGTGTGTGTGTGTGTGTATGTGTGTTTCTTGAGCAGAGAAACAGAGAGAGCTGGCTAGGAAGGGCTCATTGAAGAACGGCAACACTGTAGGAAGTCCAGTCAACCAGCAGCCCAAGAAGAACAATGTCATGGCCAGAACACGGTAATAAATTAATGCTGTGGTCTTCTGTTAGTTAAATGAGAATAAACTGATTCTCACTGGAATTTGTTTTTGTTTGTTTATGCCAATTAGTAAATGTTTAACAATGTATCTTTGCTGTTACTTGTGAAGTTGCATATCAGCAATTTGTTAATTATTGTATTTGAAACCCCTTTAGCTGCTCTTCCTGGCGTCCATATGAAAATACAAAACATACAGAAAAAAATCCCCACTCCGTGCAGTGCACAGAAACGTTGACACTTGATTTCTGAGAAAAGGTCATGTACACCTGACCTGCACGGGGCTGCAGCGACTGGATTAGCCTTTTAGCAAAGATAAGTTGAGGACAGCAAACGTTGAAAGGTTGCCAATGAAAACAAGCAACTCAGTGACCGATTTGCCTTTATTTTGCCACCTCATACCCACACTATGTGTTTAATTGGCTTAATGACAATTTCTGTATGCAAGGTTGCTAATATCAGGTGCCACACGAGTCAAGACATGCTAGCTTCAGCGTTCCCACCTGGAAGCAAAAAAGTGAAGACTACGACTTTGTAGTGATCTTATTCTGCCACACCAACAATCTTAATATTTATTCATTTTATCTGAAACATATTATTAATGTTTGTTTATTAACCGGCCCCACATTTTTCAAAAGGGGCCCTTGGGCAAAACAAGTTGAGTATCCCTGCAGTAGAGTATTTGATTATTTAATCTGAGTAACAGTATGCAAAAGGCACAAAACATTACAACTTCAAGTCTTCAAATCAAGTCTATTTTAATTTCAGCCTCTGTATCACACACAGTATCATCAATACAAATTCTCCAATAATTTTGTTCAGTGTATCTGAAGTACTGTATGCTGATTTTATGTCTAAGATCAGGAACGTGTTTTAAGGGCTTGGAAAGATGGATTTTATTCTCATGTCATTATCTCTGTCTGTCAGCAGGGCTGGCAAAAGAATAGTTTTATTGATTCAGGGTTTGCAAGATGTCCGAGTCAGAAATTAGACCTCTTTCACACTTCTGTTGTTACTGTAGTTCGGCTGCGATGCTGCCTTCAGGCCTGCCTTCCTTTTCTTTCAGCATCTCTGCCAGTCTTGTTTTTACTCACCTGTTTCTGTGAATCTATTTTCCCTCCTCCACCTCATCCTCTCCCCTTCCTGTCATGTTCTGTTACAACCTTTTTCTGCTCCTCTGATTATTTCGCCTCTCTCTTCTCTCTCTCTGTTCCCTCCCCACAGGTTGGTAGTGCCCAATAAAGGCTATTCCTCTTTAGACCAGAGCCCAGATGAGAAGCCCTTGGTGGCCCTAGACACAGACAGGTGAACACAAACACACACATTAATAAACTAATTGCCATATAAACACCATAAACACACAAATAATAAGCTAACTTGTGCTTTTTCTTCTTTGTTTCAGTGATGATGATTTTGACATGTCTAGATACTCATCGTCGGGATACTCCTCTGCTGAGGTGAGAAATCTGAAATCTGATATCTGCATCAAGAGGCCAACAGTCAGGTCTTTATAGGCCAGTCCTAAAGCAAATCCATTTATATCCATCCTACTCATCCATGCTAATTATGTAGTTGTGCGCGCTCACTACAAGTGCATGATTACATTGCAGATGCACCTGGATAAACAAGTGTGACTCAAACTAATGGAATGTCATCTCTGGGTGTCTTGAAAATCCTGTTTTCAATGCTGCTGCCAATATAAGTGCAAATCACAGACACATCATCATATTTATTCCCCAGACAAATCCTTTACACCTCTACATCTGTTTTCTATCAGGCCAGGTCTGTAGATAGATGTGGATATTATTCCACCATGTTGTCAGAAATAATTAGCTAATATACAGTAGATGTTGTAACCCAGTTTAGCCATTGTCTCCTCTTTCTTGGTACTAGCTAACAGCAAGCTGTGAGCAAGCAATACACCATGGCAACAGTATGTTTGTACTGTAGCTTGACAAAGTAGGGAATTGTGGTTGTGGTTTATGCAGCAATATAGTATATAGTTTATCCACAGTAGGATAGAGAGTTAATACATAAAAAGGTCAATCCTGGGATTTTTAATGAAGACATTGTTTCTGTTTTACAGGCAAACAAAGGCTTTTTTTTTGCTAAAACAAATCTCACCAGGGCAGTAGTCATCACGTTCATGACAAAGCTCCAAGTGATGATCCTTACAGCCATCTGTGAAAGAGCCGTAACTCAGTTTGCCATGGTTACCATTGTACATTTTACCCAGTCTGAGTCACAAGCTCAAAAAAACATGACATTTGTAAGTTGCGGATTGTTTCAATCTGATAAAGTCAGTAGAAAGATGTGTTTGTTGGCACAAAAGCCCTTTAAAACAGCAATCTGTCATTAATGCACTTTTCAATCTTTTTGTACAGATTGAGCAACCAAGATATAACATGTTCTTTGGTGAGTTTTAGAGGTGCTGGTAGGCAGATTTTGTTCCTTCGGACAGAGCCAGGCAGCTAACCAGCTGCTGGCTGTAGCTTCAAATTTATGGTAAAGACATTGACATTGTCACAAACTAGCTCAGGGAATGTGACAAGTAGGGTCCACACAATAGATTTGTTTAAAACGAGACTAACACAAATCATAAAACAAGACAAAGATGCAGAGTGGATGCCAGCTGTAGGAAGGAAGAGCAAATGAACACATGGGACAGCTTTTATAGCCCTAGAACTCTACACACCACATGCAAATTGAGTAGCTAATGATGGACCGATACTACATAGTGATGACCTCCTTTAGTTTAAAGTAGTAACAGTAACAGGTAGCAAATGCTCTGTAGCCTGGTGCCGTTCCGCAGCCCTTAAAGGTTGGGAAACACTGCTCCAACCAAACCTCCTCTGTCTGTCCTCTCATCTCCAGCAAATCAATCAGGACCTGAACATACAGCTACTGAAAGATGGTTACCGCCTAGACGAGATCCCGGACGACGAGGATCTGGATCTGATCCCTCCCAAATCAGTCAACCCTACCTGCATGTGCTGCCAGGCAACCTCCTCCACCACCTGTCAAATACAGTAACCCCGCCCCCCTGACCTTCTGCCCCTTCCCTTCTCCACACAATATAACCCCCAATCTTCATCTGCTGTGTGTTTACTTCGCCCGCCAGAGTGGCGACAGTGAAGCATTGGTAGAGTATTGTAATGACAGTTAAGTGCTATGATGATAATGACAATGAGAAAATAATCAAATTAACATGTAGAAAGTTTGGTTTAAGATCTAGGAGAAGGAACACATATGAAGATATTGAATATGTATTTAAAATATGAGTAAAAGTGGTGGTTTCCTCCTATGGTAGGACGTGCACTTGTGTTTGAGAGCCCTTCTCCTGGTGAACATGATGTAACAAAACACACTGATGTTAGTAGACAGAAAACAAAAGGCCAATTGATGCTGTAAAGTGATTTCCATTTCCCTGAAGAATAAGAAACATTATCATAACTGCTAACTCAACTGTTCTGCTTACCTGAATTCTGGGTTGCATTTTTGCATTTTTCTACTTTGTTATTTTTAGTTTTTATTTAAATGCTTACTTTTTTTAAACCCAAGGGATCTGTATGATTGTATGTGTTGACGTGAAGATATTTTAGAAGCGTGGACTGCAGTCATGCTACCCCAAATAGAAGATATCTGGTATTCATTGTACTGTACAGGGTTGTTATGTAGCACAGGCCAGGTCGTTGCATTCATCCATACCACCTTCAATACTTAGGGGAGGAATGTAAAAACATGAATGGCTGGGGAACAAACTGCACGAAGAGCACTGGACTAAACAATTGAATGGAAATAATAAGTAAGTAGCTTGTTGCACATTTGATTTTTTCCCCATTTCTATTGTGCAGTCACATGCTACCGTTGTGACACTAGCTTGACTTGTATTGTTTTGAATTTGCACATTTACTGTTTTTGTCTTTGGGCCCATAGCCGTGTACTCTTTCCTGCATAACAGTGACAGTGTCTTATCTGAAATGAACTGTGTCAAAAGGGAAGATTACATATCATTGCACTGACCTGAACACATGATGCTCACTCAATTCACATATCATCAAGGCCAAAGGGACAGTGGGGGGGCTTTAGATCGACTTTTCAGTACTACTACAGCATCAGTGTCAGAGCCTGATGATCACTGGACACTCAGAAAGATTCACACACATACTCACATGCATTTGCCTGCATACAAACATACAGTGCCGACATAAAGAGTGTGAGATGGCATCTACTTGTCACTTTTGACTAATGGTTGGAAATTGTTTTGTAATCCCAACATCAAGGATGGTTGACTTGGAGCACTAATATCCTTAATTTATGACTCTTTCCCTCCCCTAAATCAGTTGATTATTTGCAATTAGAGTATGCCTTAAGTACAGAGAAGTTTAAAAAAAAAAAACGTGTATTTATTGCCATCCTGATAATTTAGTTCATTTGCAGAGCATTTGCTGTTTATGAAGTTCTGCTTTTTTTTTTTTTACATTTAGACACGGGTGATTATTGTTTTTCTTTGGTTTTCCTTTTTTAAATAATTTTCTTGTAATGTAAACACTTCCATTACAGTATTTAACAATATTATTGTTATGTGCAGTGTATGAAAACAATAAATAAACACCAAGCTAATGGAGCACTCCCTGTTCTACTGGACTGCTTTTGTAGTTGCACCTTGTACCTCTTTCATTTATAAAAGCTGTAAAACACAGTGTCTGATATGGTTGTGTAATGTGGGGCAGAAATAATGAGCAAATGTTTAGAAAGAAAAATAATTTTAATGTTAAAACGTTTGAGCAGTAATTATTACACAGCTATGTATATTGCGATAACATGGGGTCTGCATAGACAGTCCCTGATTACAGTACAGTAGCATCAGAAGTAAGGGCATCAACCTGAAAGGCACCAACATCTAATCACAGTTGTCATAATGCCAGAAAAGAAAAACAGCATTTTTCACTTTACAAATATATGTAGATGTATGTCCTACAAGGTTAACCACACCTAACTCTACACTCTATCTGGACGTTATAATGCATTAAGTGGCAAGTATAAAAAGAAAACAAATGACATCATCAATGTTTCTGGCTCCTGTAGTGGACGAAGAAGACCTCTCATCCCATTAGTAATATTATAAAAGATTACCATTTAAACAATTAAAAAATACATTGTACCAAACAAATACATACAAACATGCTACATGATGTAATTCCTTGATTCAAAAACAAACTAATCAACAGCGTGCTTCAAAATGCTAGGACAAGAAACTAAAAAAGGTTTTATGACTTTCTGTTGTGAGAAATGTTGTGCTTCCACATCACCACTAGGGGGTGTAGCATTGATTGAAATGACCATTCATCACATTATTCCCTGACAAAATGCAGTCCAGATACAGAGTAAACAAAAGTAAGTTTCAATGTACAGCAACGGGCACTGTTGGCATAAGAGATAGTCATTGATATTCAAAGTATTGTTGAATATCAACATAAAGAATCTGACAATGTTCATTTAGGTAGTATTTCCAAAGGTTGAAAATGTAGAAATTCCTCTGCTACAAAACCCTTGAAAAGGCACAGACCTCCTTGTTTACAGTTTACGCACTTTAACTGAACATTAGTCAGTATTTGCCATTACACGGAAAAGTGTTTCAACTGTAAGGGAAAAAGTAAAGTCCCTAACTTTACCCTTTAAAGGCTTTACCCTGTTATGTTTTGTGTTATACTTTCCCATGAGGTTTGCTCATGTATTATCTTGCCAAAGGACTCTAAAGGTATTTTGGTGCAAATATTTGCAAGTTTATCATGATGTGACAACATTTATGTTCCAACATGCTGACTAAACCTACAAGCTCATAGTATACCTGATTTACTAAGTCCATAGTCAAATGTATGAAAGAGCTCTGTAATTCTCTATATTATAGCTTTGTCTTATTACTCTCTAATAACATGTAACTACTGAGTATATTATTTATCTGAAAAGTAGTCTGTTTAGTCTATTTACATAATAATACTGCTATTGTACAATCAAATTGTTCTGGACTGGAGAGTAACTGTACAAGTATGTGTGTATGTGTGCAACAATAATATTTACTTAAGGACTATTATTCCCAAAACTTCTTAACACTTTCCACTAGAAATATCTCAGTCATGATTTATTTTCTTGTCTTCAACAGCAAATGAAATCTATGATGCAAAGTGAACACGTGTAGTGTTTATGGAAACTGTATTTGTACATGAATGCTTCTTGGATTGCAGATTGTTCCAGGAAAAAAAAAAAAAAACTCAATACAACACAAAGCAAAATAATTACAAATGGCAAAGCAACTAGAAGCCGACCCTGAATAAGCCTCAATAAATACCATATTACCTCAGGGTAGAAGAAGGGGAAGCTCCAGTTTGGTTACTGTCAGGTTCTGTTTCTGTTTGCTGTGGCACAATGTTACATATGTAGAAAAAAAACTCTTTAAATATGGTCTGGCTGGTTGAGGTGTCTGACTTGATGGGACACATGTGGGGTGTCTATGTGTGCGTGTGCCTTTTGTATCTACTGCATGTACCTTTATGTATATATGTACAGCATGTGGGTGTGGCTCACACCCCAGCAGGGCTTTGGTCTCCTGAGTCAGAGGAGGACACAGACACGGAGCAGCGGCGCCTCTTAGCTGCACTGGAGCCCTGGAGCATGCTGGGTTGGAAGCCTGCGTGTCGCCGGGCATGTTTAGTCAGGTGGTCGCTCCTCATGAAGCACTTGTCACACATTGGGCAATTGAAGCGCTTCTCGCCCGTGTGTGTGCGGTAGTGGCGCGTCAGCTCGTCTGAGCGGGAGAACTTCTTGCCACAGTCTGGCCAGGTACACTCGAAGGGACGCTCACCTGAGGAAACACACACACAAGTTTTGTATTACTACTCATTGTTTGGGACTCATAGATCCAAACTGCTGTATATGTAAGACAATAATAATAATTACAAAATCAGCCACCTTTTCTTTTCTTCTGATCCAATTTGACCTCATTCAAACTCAATATGTAGAAAAGTAATAGTGGTAGCTCCTCCCTTTGCAACATGTAATTAAGTGACCACAAAGCATTGTTATTCCACATAAAAAAGAAATATTTCATGTTTAATATCTTATGTGTGCTATGTATTAATAAATATATTCATTTTATTGCTGCTCCGTAGTGATTAACTAAAGTTTGGGGTCAGAGGTCAAACTCCCTGTAAAGACCTCTTATGGACAAACTATTTTAAAACAGAAATTTGAAGACTTATTTGGAACAGTGCTGTGTAAAAGGTAATAACAATACCTTAACAATATATATCTTATTTTGTCTGAGTCATGTCATCAATTCAAAAGTATCAAGGTAACAATGTTAAGTATGTTTTTTAAAAGAGCCCAGGGTCTCCAGGACCCCAAATAGAACACTAGAGTTAGCTCACATCTACTCTATAACCTTCCCTCTAAACTAATCCTAAATCACATTTTGATTAAAAAACATATTTTTAATTCTCTGCCCTTAAAAGAAGGGCTTGCAGTAAATAAAAAAGAACACACAGACACAAAATGGATCATGTGAGAGGAGGGGGGGAGGGGGAAATACAAGCTTCACAAAAAGATTGTCTTGGTTTGTTTTGTTTTGTCTCTGGCAAATCAAATTTTGGAAAGGCCTGCATAAACAGCATTTTCTGGGAAGAGAACATATTGATTTAGAAATAGTGAGTCATCATATGAGCCCAGTGAAGAAAAAAAAACGAAAATAACTATGGCTGCCCCTTTTCCTCATCCTACACGTGCTCCCCACTGAACCACATGTCTGCCCTTGTTTACAACCTGACGCGAGGGGAGTGGAGGAGGATGACGTATGAGGAAATAGTGGTGCAGGGAGGGTTATCTCCGGACAAGTACATGTGGGGACAACGGTGTCGCAGTGACCTGCATGTAAATTATAAGCCAAGATGTCTACATTAACTGCTCTGTTGTTATAACACGATGCATGTAAACACACAACAACAAAAACAGATCTCCTGTAAAATAACCATCGATGAAGAAGAGGATCGCCTGTTTGAGGGCTTGTTTGGTAACATTATGTCTCTGTGATGGGTCCGGATGACTTACAACACCTGAACCATCCGGCGTCAGTCACAAATATGGGCGGTGGCACGCGGTGTTCCCAGAGCGCACTGGGTGCGTGTCAACAGCACATTAAAATACACACCCCCCACTTTGTCTCACACACGCCTCCCCCACCTCCCCTGCCCTCTCAGCGAGCCTCTGGCCCCGCTCTGGGCCCGGTCAGTCACACCCCCAGAGAAGGGGGCTACTCCACGGGACCACCTTTCCTATAACCTTTATTTAGTAGAAACGTGGTCTCTCACTTATCCTCCTCATGAGCACACAGACACAGCATGGACTGCAGGCCATAACATTAAACCTCATATATTCCTATAAGTCTCCAACCAGGACTTCATAATGACATCATTCTATGCGGGCTATTTTCTCCTACAGTAATTATAAACTGTCACTCGTCTTTTCCTGAAATAGCCGGTGTGGTTATAACAGTGATGTCGACATGCGTCTGAAATAAAGAATGATGGCAGCGGTGACGCAGAGCCGGTTTCGCTGTCGTCAACAGATTTTGAGTCCATTAGTTTCGTCGCCGTGTCACGCAAACCTCCCGCCGAGCTTCCACTTACCGGTGTGGACCCGCAAGTGGGCTTTGAGGTGGGACGACTTGCCGTACATCTTCCCACAGCCCGTAAAAGGACAGCAGTGTCTCTTCTCGGGACACTCGCGCCTCGCCGCCGCCCTCTTGTTCCTGGACTGTTTGGGTGCCACCGAGCCCCGGCTGTCCCCGGCGTTCAACCGGCAAGTCCCCCGCTCCACCTTCTCCTGCGCGCCGGCGTCGCTGCCCCCGATACATCTGCTGCCTCCGGCGCCGATAGCGTTGGAGTTGCATTTGTTCAAGTCCAATAAAATCATTGCCACCATCAGCAAAGTCCTGTTCTCTTGGTTCTCTTTCAACATGTCCTCTGTCCGACCCGGTGGTCGGCTGGGGACACAGTCTGCAGAGGCAACCTCCGACATCACTACAGCAGATCCGGATGGAAATCTAGAGTAGACGCTCAAAAGCAATCCGACAAAACAGATCAAATAAATTGATCAGACCGCAGCCCCCCCAGGAAACATGTGGTTAACCTCCCACACGTGTCTTCTTCAATGTGACTATTCCGCAAAGGCTGCGTTTTCTTGTTGAGGTTGCAGGGTGGATAAGTAAACACCCCTACAGGAAATAAAGCACTTTGAATCGTTCCCGGCTCTTCCTCTCTCCTTCTCCCTCAGGATCCGTAGATTTCTAACAGCCGGATCAATAAAGCAGCGTTTACTGACTGACCTATTGTGTCTGCGTGTATTGCGCCTTTCTGTGCGCTGACTGACTGCGCTCCCACACATGCGTCAACTTGTCCTATTTTACTGCCAGCAGCACATCTCCCAACTCCAAGAAACAATTTCGCGGA